GGGATTTTCAGGGGTCCCACCCCCAGGCTGGACAGGGATACTGATGATGCTCTGGACCCTGGTGAGGCTCCAAATTTTGGGCAGAGACTCTTTCCAGYTCTGTGAGGCTGGGGTGGTGSCCAGGTGGGTGKGGTGGCATCACAAACCCAATTTTATCATTTCTTCAGGTGGGTTTGGACCAGCCAGAACCTCTGGGGGGTTCTAGGAAGGTGGGGTGTGATGGGGTGAAGGGAGGGGGTTTGAAACCCTCCCCTCTGTGTGGGAGCAGTGCTTCTGCTAATTTATTTTAATTATTAATTGTGGCCCTTGCAGCCTCTTAGCYTGGGACAGCTGGTCATTGAGCAGCTTCTCTATTTTAGCATTTTAACAGCAAAATAATGAAAAACTGAAAATCCAGGTAACAACCCCCTGATTTTAAGAGTTTTCTCACTCCAGGCATTCCCRCGGCAGCCCATGGRCACCAGWCTCCATGGCAGCAGCCRGRGATGMWGAGGAGAAAATGTCCTGGAAAAGCWGGCACAGCCTCCTGGCATGTGGGGTGTGGGGTACAGGGCATGGAGAACACCAGGACATTGTCCTGGCGGAGATGGAAGTGTGGGGCTGGGGCTGGGAGGGGGCAGGGAATGGCGGATTGGGCAGGGAATGGGGAATTGGGCAGGGAATGGGGATCAGGGAATGGGGAATTGGGCAGGGAATGGGGATCAGGGAATAGGGAATTGGGCAGGGAATGGGGAATTGGGCAGGGCAGGGAATGGGGGATTGAGCAGGGAAAGGAATGGGGAATCAGGGAATGTGAGATCAGCCAGAGCAGGGAATGAGGGATCAGCCAGGGCAAGGAATGGGATCAGCCAGGGCAAGGAATAGGAGATCAGCCAGGGCAGGGAATGAGGGATCAGCCAGGGCAGGGAATGGGGGATCAGTCAGGGCAGGGAATGGGGGATCAGTCAGGGCAGGGAATGGGGGATCAGCCAGAGCAGGGAATGGGGGATCAGCCAGGGCAGGGAATGAGGGATCAGCCAGGGCAGGGAATGGGATCAGCCATCCAGGTTTTCCTCCTGCTGTAGCTCCTCTGCCTTGCTCTTTCCTGTCCTTCTCGGTGGGACTGGTGAATCCCTGCACAGGGAAGCCTTGAGCTGCTCCTGTCCCCTGTGCCCCTTTCYCCAGCTCCCTGTGCCTGAGCACGAGTCTGATCGAGAGCCCAAATCCTCTCTTACCCAGCTCTGCTGGGTGTTTTTATTTCTGTGACTGCAATAATTTCATTATTAGCCAAGGWCTGGGTTAGGACCAGCTCCAGGTGTGAGCAGGGCCGTTGTGAACCAATGGCTCTCCCTCTATCCCAGGTTTTGTGGGTGCCTGCCTGGCTCATTTAGGGTTCTTTGTCCCACTTGGGGGGGTCAGTCTATCCCAAAATATCTTTGGGACACGCCACAGGAGCGGAATGCTGGGCAGGTGAGAGCTGCAGCAGCTGTGGCCAGGCACGAGCTTTTTGGGGTTGTTTAGGGGGTTTTGGATAGAGCCAGTGCTGCAGGAGGAATTCCAGGTCCCTCCAGTTCCCATCTCTCCTCTTGGAAAGGTGACCTCGCAGGGAATGTGGTTRCTCACAATTACCAGCTGAACCCATTTTAGGATGTGCAAATACTGGAGTTGAGTTTTAGCCAGGACACTCTTTCAGCAGCTCTCGATTTGATTTCTTGCCTGAAAGGACTTTGTAAAATAAACCAGGGTTTTAAAATTTTGGATTATCTTTAAAAAAACCTTTTAAAAAGGTGCTATTATAGTCTCTCTTTTCTGCCCACCCCCATCCTGCTTAAACMGAGCCAGGACCACAAACCAAGTTCATTAAAGTAATGACAGCGTGGCTCYTAATTGGATTTGAAATTTGGCTGTTTCATTACTTGAAGGAGCCCCTGAAGGGTTTTACCCTCGTGCAGCTGAATCCATKGATTCTGGTGGATTTGGGAAGGCTGATTTAATTCAGGGAAACCCTTCCCTTAATTRGGTAACCCCGACCCATCCCTGCTGGGTGATGTGTGGCCGTGCTGGGTGAACAGGGGCTGCTTTTAGTGCCATAAAATCATTTAGGCTGGAAAAAAAACCAGACACCCCCAAAATAGGGTTTCAGTTCTTCTTGAAGGGAAAGTTTCCCAGTTAAAATATGAATATTAAAATTATAATTTTCTCCTCCAGTTGGGCTGGGAAGAGCTTGAGAATCCCTGATCTGGCATCCAGCAGCAGAGTTAAAGGTTAAGCAGCTCCTGCTGCCTTTGGAGCTCCTGGGCATCCCGTGGTCATCCCAAACGGGGCTTGGCCAGAGCCGGCTCCATTGGGACGTTGGGCTGTCTTCTGAGGAATCCCCACTTCTGGCAGGGAAAT